AAAAACATGGTTCTCGGACATATATTATTTGAGTTATGCTTCGGGCATATTAAATCTTTCAAAGATAACATTAATAATCATGCAAAATCAGTTGACTATCACGTATTTCAAATTTCATGTATCGTTAAGATAACATGATATAAAGTTGTGATTTCATCCATGACGATCTTTGTGAAATTCACTGTATTGAGAGTCGTGCATTACACAATACGACTTCATTTCTCTCATTTCCTTTTCATATAAGTATATATCTTTAGATTTCGGACTATAGATCAAAAAATTTCATGTTTATCTAGTAAATTCAATTTAAGATTGCGTCTCTTTTTATTTGGCCAAACATTATTTCGATCAATATATTTCGACGCATTTATTTCGATTCCTCGCGATTCACATATGATACTATATGTCATCTACAAAATTGTTGTCGACAATTTTTTCTTTTCTCGTTCGATTCTATTTCTTTTCCCATAGTGACATAACTTATTTAGATATCTTAATTTTTAACATATCAGATACCTGAACTTTTTCTGGGATTTTATAATTTGTTATGTTTAAATACTCATGAAGAGTATATGCATCCTTAATGAAATCATATTTGCTAATTGCTCCATTTCCATTTAAAGATTTTTGTATTAGAATCGAATACCATCACACTTCAGGCGTGCCATAGATATATCAAATATAATAATATCAAATTGTCCCTTAAGACATCAATTCGTATTAGAACATTAAAAATTGGTGTGTAAGATATTATTGATCTCTTTGATCAATAAATGTATCTAAATAAATTATCTTTCGAACTTTTGGTTCGAATGATATTTAGCGAGAGTTTAGATGATGATACATTAATACATTATTTTCAACATTTTAATTCCTCCTTTGATGTTGAGAGGATTTGTCCAATCAAATTGACAATCATTTTTTCGTGTTATAAAATATCACTCATTTGAAATAATAGTTCAAACTACGTACTTATTCTCAACATTCTTTATTTTTCATCTCAGTGTATTGTAGTGTTCAATTTTTTTTACATATACTACACTATCAAAAATAATTAGATGGAAAAATTAGGATTTGACCATAAGTTGATTATAATAGGGAGAACTGTGATTTTGGTATGATGCGTAATAGAATTTCCTAAATAAAAATGGGAAATACTTATTCTCAATTAAATTAATTGGAGTCATTTAACAAACATTAGTGTTAAATCATTTATCGACATCTCAACTAACACTTATTAAAATGTTGAGATTTATGCCTACTAGCATTAACAAGATATTGTCTTGATTATATAATCTGTAAATTATGCTCATAACTTGAGTAATAATTTCGCAAAACTTCATGTTGCGAATACTATGCAATCATCTAATATTTGTGACAAATCTATCGACACACATAATAATTAGATGATTAACATGGCGGGTGATGGAACCCCATATATCACCCTAATTAATTTTCAAAAATATAGGGAATTCAATCCTTATTTTAGTTAGCGATGTTTAATGATCAATTGTCGATAAAGAGAACAAATAATATATGGGAATTTATTGGATTGAAAAATCTTCTAATTCTTCATTTAATATCCATTAAAATAATTTAATTTCGCATCATTATTGATCCAGTGATGGTCCAACTGGTCATGCCAAATAATAAAGTCAAATTGAACTTTTGGTTCAATATATTATATAATTCAATTATTTAATATCGAAGAATATGATTAAATATTATATAATCATATATCATTCAAGTAATCAAATTAATCAATATTCTAACAACATTAGTTATAAGTTTTCCTTGAGAGATAAACATGAATTCAAAATAATATATTTTTCGAAATATGTGCTGCTCTAAAAGCACGTTATATTTTTTTTTATTATTATTACTCATTCAAAAGCAATATGTCAATATTCTTCTAGAATATTGAAAATTATAATTCAAACTCTTCGGAAGCAATCAAATGTTATTATAATAAATTATACAATAATTAACTCTTCGAGTGTAAAAATATAATTTACGTTAAATTATATATAATTATACTTTTCGAGAGCAAGTAGATCTAACTAGAATATTAATGAAAATTATAATGTGTTATTTTGATATCACATTATATTTTATTATTACTTTTCAAGAACAATATATTAATATTCTTCTAAAATATGGAAAATTTTAATGTCATGCTCTTCAGGAGTAATAATATATTATTGTTTACAGTAACAATTATGTAAGAATTTACTCTTCAGGAGTAAAAACATAATTTCATGTTAGATCTTATATCATTTTGCTTTTTAAGAGCAATAAAATCTGACCAGGACATCAATTTCTAAATACGTATTCAGAAAAATAGACACATAAATAAATAGAGTAATTTAATTCGTGATTTTACATATAATCGATAAATATTTTTTGGGAATATTGAAATTATAATATCATATTCTTTTGGAGCAATTAATATTCTTTTTTAAAGTGTTAATAACATTGTGTTTCTTCAGACAAACACAACTTTCTTTCTTTTTTTAAATTATTTTTTATATATATAAAATGTGATTTCTTTAGAAACACAACTAGACATATAATCTTCAAAAATATAAATACAATATTCTTCTAGAATATTGACATTAACTATTCATTCTACCTTTCGAGGTATATAATAAAATTTATGCCCTACATGAGTAACAATGAAATATTATTATTGAATATTTATATAACGCGTGTTGAGTTTTTTCGAGAACATCAACATTATATTCATTTAAAATAACTATAATTTAAATTATGTTTTTTCAGGAGCATTGAGTCAATATTCTTTTGGAATATTGAATTTGTAATATCATGTTATTTATAAACAAGTAATATTCTTCTATAAAATTGAATATTAATTATGTTGTGCTACTTCAAGAGCAACAACGAACTATTTATAATAGATAGATATACAATTAATATTTTTCTGGAATATTAATTATAATGTTGTGCTACTTTTGGAACAACAAGATGATAAATTCTTCATTTGAATTTTATAGAATAATATCTAAAAACATTTAATTACCATATAGATATGATATGAATTTATATAGAAAAATTAATTACCAAACATGCATTAAGAAGAAGAATCTCCATACATAGAAGTTAACAAAATTGGCTAAATTATTTATTGACTAAATCTTTTACCATTTATTGACTAAATCTTTTACCAACACGCAAAAGGTACTAAACATACATATGAATTTCACATATATAGAAATTAAAGATAGAACTAATATGTAACAGATTCAAAAGACAGAATTAATACTAAATAATATGTGGAAAAAAATGATCGCGTATGAATAAAAAAAGTGAATTAATATGCGTTCAGATTAAACATACAAACACGAATTAGAATTAATATGCATGCCGATAAAAAATAGAGAAGAAGAAGCAACCTCGTTATGATGCATATGTATATTGAAATATTTCACATGCTACCAAATTAATTTTGACACACGTTATAAATATTCATGTCTATAAAAATTATTATCTTCACTAAATTTTGAAAAATTAAGTTATCGTGCTAATAACGTGTTATAAAAGTGAAGAAAAGAGAAGAGAACGGAGAGAAGTCAATAGATTTGTGTGCGTTTTATTAAGAACTGAAGCCCTATATTTATAAGACAGAATCAGGGATACAACAATAATTATTTCTAGGGCTGTAGTGGCGTAATTGTCATTCACCTCTAAACCGTAATAAATTTTCTTTTTTACAACATTTACGACTTTTTATTTGAATCCATTAAAAATATAAAATAAAATATCGGTGTTAAATAGGTCGACTTGGTTGGATTTTATTGGAGGGCCTGTTGAGACCATGGAGGTAGGTGTTGAATGGGCTTATGTTGGCATGAATTTTAGGTGGGTTGTTTTGGGCCTTGTGGCCTATATAAAAGAAGATAATTAGGCAAACAATTGTTTTTCTTCTACGTATTGGAAAGTGCGGAAAAAAATATTTGCAAGAACAAATTTGTAGGCTCAATCTATTTAGCAACTTCAAACTTGTAGTTCTACAAGCTTTTAGCAGCCAAATTAAAAATAAAAATAAAGCTTTACGGTGAACCAAGTTAGAGATAGAATCCAATAAAACTAACTTTAATCCTTGGCTTGGGTCGACATGGTGTCATTTGGTTTTCGTTCCAAAAGAATCGAATTGAATTATGAACCAATGATTTTTTTTTTAAGATATGGAACCAAATGAATTTTTTTTTTCAAGATATGAAACCAAATTGGAATTGAACCATTTGGTTTGGTTCAGTTTGGTTCTAATTTCATTTATTAAATTTTTATTTTTCAAACACCATATTCATAATTTAGTAATATAAATTTAAATAAAAAAAAAAAATAAACACCAAATGTTCAGTATGTTCAAATTATCAATCATTGATATCACAAAAAGTCCAAACTAACAAACTATAGTTATAATTTGAATACACAAAGCAATTTGCATTCCCATATAAAAGATTGCCTATTTAATAGTAACAATGATTCACTAAATTAATTGTATCAATTTCGATGGCACCAAAAAACTTCCCGTTTGCTTTTCATTAATCTTTTGATTTGATTTTCATTACTATTCTCATTTCTATTCAAAAGAAGTAATTTGCTTGGTATAAATCAAGATTTCATTTTATATGTATTATGAAGTAACAAAAAATTTGAGAGAAACCAAAGTTCCAAATTCAATAGGGGATGCTTTAGTATTTTTCTCATTAATCCCCACCAATCAAAAAATATTTTTGAGGAGTTTTGTAGATTCATTTCTGGAATCATAAGATAAAAAAATATTTTTTTTATCAAGTATTTTATAATTATTAGTAACAATTTGAATATTTTGATTACTATTGACATCGATCATAATACAGGCCTCAATATCGACTTTTTGTCTAAGATCGAAATGGAAAATTTTCCTATCCAAATATTTCCCATTGGAAGATATTTTTTTTTCCCATCTATAAAAATGCCCTCTCCTAGATAATTATCGATGGGGATACTCCTAAGCATATCAAAAAAAAGTTTATTAATATGTGTTGTAATTATAAGAAATATCTTGATCCTTATTTCCTTCAAACAACGATCTAAAAATAAATGAGTCATTTTTATTTTCAGAATTAATAGATTTATATAATAAAGATCATATTTATAGTATTTTTGATTTTGAAAATTATCATTTTGATTCAATAATGAAGAGATTTCAAAAATAATATTTTTTAATCCTCACAATAAAGTAAGGGTGGATATGGTTTTATTTGGTGCTGATTTCAAGAGAATCGAATCAAATCATAAACCAATGATTTATATGAGAATGGAACCAAAATGATTTTTTTAAGATATGAAACCAAATCGAAATCGAACCATTCGATTCTAATTTGGTTCTATTTTCATTTCTCAAACTTGCACTATTTCTACTAGTTAGTAATATATACCTATATAAAATAAATAAATATCAGATGTTCAGCAAGTTCAAATTATCAATTATCGAGATTACAAAATTCCAAACTAACAAATTTACTACAGTTATAATTTGAATACATAAATCAATTTTCATTCCCATACAAAATCATTATTTTTTCTTGTAAAACCGAATCGTAGAGCTCGATTTGGTTAGATTCTGGTTTCTTTTTATTTGGTTTGGGCATTTTGTGCACTCCTTCAGTTTGACTGGTAAGATAAGTTGTATAGTATTAGACAATAATTATAAAGATATCAAGCTTCTGTATGGTGAGAATTAAAATCAATTTTTTTAGTATATTTTTATAAAAATGAAAATGATGAAATATGTAATTAAAAAATTATGATCCCCAAAAATATGTGAATAAAATTTATTGTTAACTTTGATTTATAATAAAATTTTTCTCCCTCCTACTTTTAACCACACAATTTTCAATAAAATAATATTACACGTAAACCAATCACTTTTCTTTTCTTTTAAACCACTCATTTTTCAAAAAAACACTATTCAAAACATTATAATCTCCAAATAATGAGGCTCAAAAGGGGGCTAGCTTAGCCGTCTTGGGGTCAGTTCACGAATTGGTATATTTTTTGCGATGACTCGTGGCTCTACTTGTAAAGTGAGTTTTTATATCTCACATATATTTTAACGATATAATTTGCAAATATAGTCATGACAATATTTAGAGCCTAATTGAGTCCCATTTTATTATAAAAATGTTTGGAATAGCAGATCGATAGAGTATATGTGATTAAAAAATGAAGAAATTTTTTTAGATTATATGTACTATTATTTTATTGAAAAATGTGTTGTTGAAAAGAATATAGAGAAAAATGTATTTTGAAAGTAATAGGAATTAAAGAAGGGCTTAGTTTTTCTCAATTAGTTTAAGCCAGCGCCAACTAGCCTGTAATATTGACGGGTTTGTAGACCATGTTATCCAAGATTTTGAAGATGGTTCGAGCTAGACATGGACCATATTTCTAACGGACTAGTTCAGGTCCATTACAAGTTAGAACTAGTTTATAACATGCATGTGGGTTAGTTTGGGTCAATCTATGAATTTTGCTACCTCTATCTTCAACGTAATATTCGATCGGCTCATTTTGCTGAGAATAATCCTATTTAACATCAGTCTATGTAGTATTATGTTATATCTTCAATTAAATGTGAAACTATGTAAAGCCTTCTCAATTGAGAAAATTTCGATTCGATTCGACTCGACTCGACTCGATTTAAACGTTGAATTCCTCCGCCCATGGATACCTCGAGGGGGAGCAAGAGGCAAAAGAATAGACGTTGTGCCACAAAAGGAGGCGACACATGTCAGTACAATGTGGGTCTTACGTTACCCTTCTTAGGACCAGCCAAAATAAAGGACAGAACACGCACGTGACTTAGCCACATCATCATCAAAAGTATTTGATTAAAAATGGATAATTACATGAAGGACCCATTAACGACAGGTCTCTTCACAGAGGACTGCACATGCCCCCACTAAACTGTCTTTATATATGCCTCTCTTATTCTCTTTGTTAAAAATTTATAAATTAATTTTATTTTTAATCACACGTTTCAATATATTCATGTACTGTCCAACTGTTCATCATTTAAAATAACTTATATATATTTTTCCTAATTGGAGGTATATTTCGGATAAATTCGTTTTAATTAAGGTAGTTCCGACCAATTTCACTTACACAAATTGATAGCATAGTTGTCAATAAGCCAATTTCTGGGACTCAGTTTATGGGGCACTTCACATGACTTCAAATATTCAACATCCAACTTAGCCTCAGTTAATCTAAAATGATATGTCAATTATACATTGAATGAACGGCAAAATTTGGACAGCAGATTCCAACTCCCTGTTTGGGCTCTATTTTATTAAAAATACGTTTTTCTTTCTCTTTCTTTTAATCATAAATTTTTCATTAAAATAATATTATACAGAAACTTGAAAATTTTACTATTTTTTAACCACAAATTCTTTTCTTTTCTTTTCTTTTTTTAAATAAAAAAATATTTCAAAATACCTTTTTTCCCAAAATTTAATTTTAATTGAGCCCAGATAAAGGTCAAATTGTTAGTAAGTTTTTATAAAATTTGATGGAAACTATATTAAAAAGTTGTGGATCTTATAAAATGTGTAATTAAAATTAATTATTGATTTTGATTTAAATATTAATTAGATTTTTAGCGGTATCAAGCAGGAGATTAATATTATTTTTTTTAATATATAATAAATAGTGAATTGAATCTTTAAGCCACGTGGATCGAAAGTAATTATTCAATTAAATTTAAATTAATACACAGTAGGAATAATTGATTGACTCTTAACACACATGA